TTTGCTCGGAGGGTGGCTTTTAGTCCCCCAGAGGCTTCAGGGAAGTCACTCTGGTTTGCTCGGAGGGTGGCTTTTAGTCCCCCAGAGGCTTCAGGGAAGCCTTCTGAAGGTCTCTGAAGCCTCCTGAGAGCTTAAACCGACCCTACGAGCAAACCGGAAGTCAGTTCCCACGCTTCCTGTTTGCCCTTAGCGCCATTTTTTTGCGCTCCAGAGGCTTCAGGGAAGTCACTCTGGTTTGCTCGGAGGGTGGCTTTTAGTCCCCCAGAGGCTTCAGGGAAGCCTTCTGAAGGTCTCTGAAGCCTCCTGAGAGCTTAAACCGACCCTACGAGCAAACCGGAAGTCAGTTCCCACGCTTCCTGTTTGCCCTTAGCGCCGTTTTTTTGCGCTCCAGAGGCTTCAGGGAAGCTCCTGATGCCTCTGGAGGACCTCCGGGGGAGGGGGAGGCTCTTTTCATCCTCCCCAGGCTCCTATAAAGCTTCTGGAGCTGGGGGAGGGCAAAAAATGGCTTTAAAAAATGCTGAACTCAGCTGGCCAGCATGCACATGTGCGCTGGCCATCTGACAGGACAATGCCTCGCGTGCCCTGACAAATGGCTCTGCGTGTCACCTGTGGCATGTGTGTCATAGGTTCGCCATCCCGGATATAGGGTTTCCTGCCTAAGCAGAGGGTTGCATTAGAAGACCTCCAAAGTCTCTTCCAAGTCTGTTATTCTATTCTATTCTATTCTATTTTAAGTTATAGTAAGAAGGATCTAAGGAAACAGGCAATAGGAGAGATAAGAGGATAATAACTAACACAGTCCTACTAGGTGGCTTGACATCCTAGGGCTGGGATGGCGAACCTATGGCACGGGTGCCACAGGTGGCACGTGGAGCCATTTGTCAGGGCACGCAAGGCACTGCCCTGCTGAGTTCACCCATTTTAAAAGCCATTTTTCGCCCTCTGCAGGCTCCAGAGGCTTTATAGAAGCCTGGGGAGGGCAAAAAGAGTCCCCCCTCGGAGGCTTCATGAGCTTCCCTGAAGCCTCAGGAGCACATAAAACCGGCCCTATGGGCAAACCGGAAGTTCAGGAACAGACTTCCAGTTTGCTCAGAGGGTCGCTTTGAGCGCTGCGAAGGCTTCAGGGAAGCCTCCTGAAGCTCCCTGAAGCCATTGGAGAACTCAAAACGACCCTCCGAGCAAACCGGAAGTGACTTCCGGTTTGCACGGAGTGTCATTTTGACTGCTCTGAAGGCTTCAGGGAAGCCTCCTGAAGGTCCCTGAAGCCTCCGGAGAGCCTCCGGGGGGCGGGGGAGGCTATTTTCGCCCTCCCCAGGCTCCTATAAAGCCTCTGGAGCCTGGGAAGGTCAAAAAAAGCATGAAAAAAATAGGGGTGTGTGCCTGTAGTGCGCGCATGCGCACTCAGGGGGGTGTCTGTGCATTGCATTATGGGTGCAGCATGCCTGGACACGACCCCCCTGCGCTCCCCCACTTATGGCACGCGAGCCAAAAAAGGTTCACCATCGCTGTCCTAGGGTATAGACAGTGTTGTGGGAATTAGTTGTTTAGCAGAGTGATAGCACTCTGTGGGAGTATTTTCTATGGGAGAAATAACTGTGCCTGGTTGTTCTGGCGTGCAATGCCCTATAGTGTCTTGAGGGAAGAAGTTAAAACAGTTTATGTCCAGGATGTGAGGGGTATGTAGATATTTTCATAACCCTCTTTTTGATTGTAACTTGGCAGATTCAAGAGCAAACCAAGTGATAACTATGAGGATCCTCAAGATGTAGCAAATATCAAAGAAGCTCAAGAGAACATGGGGGACTTCAAATTAAAAACTGCCACTAACTACAAAATTCCTGAGCATATGAGAATCAATGCGGATAAAAAAACAAGCCAATTGCAAGCTTTAGAAGCAGCTGTAAGTAGAATTGATCTGAATCATATGATTTCTCTGCTTCTCTCAGGAAAGCATTTACTGTGGTGAAATTAAACCGTACCACATGTATGTTTATTGACTGTTTTTGCTTAATTTTTTAAATTGCTGTTAATATAGTAACAGGAAAAGAAAAGAACACAGAGGAATGAAAAACAAAGATACATTATTTTAAAAATCAATGAAAAATACAAGAAAATAAAATTAATACATTTAAATATACCATATATATATTATTGCAAAAGTGAACAGTTACAATTTTATATATAATTATCTAATGCAAACATTTTGCAACTGTTTCTGTGTATGTATTCCCAATATAGTAATATAATCATGCTTATTAAACAATAGCCTTGGAAAAAGTGACTCAAGATCTGTACTAGCACTTAAGACTGTGGTATCCTCGCTGTCACATGATTGCAATTTAGGAGTTGAACAGCCGGCTTCATTTATGATACCTTGAAGAATCCTGCAGTCATGTGATTATGGTTTGAGAGCTTTTTGCCAATTTCTGGCAAAACATGGCAAGCCACCCCTCAGTAGGAAAACTGGATTTACTTCACTGTGTGATTCACTTAACAACATCATTGATTGACTTTAATGACTGCCATAAATCTTATCTCATCTTGTAACCAATTCAATTTACCACCACAATAACTTATGATGGAAATTCCTGTTCCAATTGTGCTTGTAAGTTGAGTATTTCATTATATTTATTGATACATGGTCTATATCTGTAGGCAATCCATTAAGAGTAAATCCATTATTTACTCAATAATCTTCAATCATTGAGTAAATGGGATTTTACTTTCCAGTGTTGCAACATCAGTTTTTTAGCTGTAGTAAGGGCATGGAGAATCCATTTGTGAACAAGTAGACCATGCAGTACCCAGGAGTCAAAAACTGAGTTGAAGGAACAATTTTTTTAAAAAAAAATCCCATTAAATATAACACCTATGTACATTGACTTTCTATGATAGCCAATAAAAGATAACTGAGAGCAACAGTGGTTTCATTTGCATAGTGTTTTAATTACTTAGGTTTAAATTATTGCATTTTGGAAAAAATAACTATCTAATAAAGCATTTGCTACCTAATAAAGTGACTTGTTCTCTTCTTTGCAGATACATGAGAAGAAGCTGACGATGAACAAATGGATTGTGTCTCTCCGAGATCTTAAAGTTGCTATTATAGAAGAGATTCAGTGTGTAGTACAAGAATTGAAAGCTATACAGTCATCTCTGGATCCATCCAAACATCTGTCAATACCTTTGGTTCCTCAACTACTTCCCGAAGAGACACCAGAAAAACATTTCCAGTATGACCATGACATGCTTTTGAAGTTCAAACAAGAAGCAGAAGACCAAGAGAAGAAAATAACATCATCGATTCCTTCTCTGGAGTCTGGAAGTTTAGGAGGATTTGGTGGAGGATTTCTTCATAGTCCTTCAATCAAGGAAGTAGACAGTGGTCGGATTGCAGCTTTAAGGCCAGCAAGACTATCATCTGGAATTTCTGAGCAACCACCTAAAATATTTGAGATTCAGCCGGCAGAACCAACAGATCTTGAATTGGAAATCAGACAGAGAGAAGAGATAAGAAACGTTCATCTGCAGGAAACTTTGATCAAGAGGGTGAGAAGTTCCTTTGAAGATATTATACGTGCAAAATTTTTGCTTGTTTCTCTATTTTTGTTTCTGATAATTAAAATATTACAATAGCAATAGTTATTTGTTGTGGCCCAGAGGAGCCGTTGGAGCTGCCACCATACTCTGACAGTGAGGTGCCCTATGAGTCGGCTCTGGAGGATGTGGAGGACCCTGGACAGGGTTCCCATTCGGAGCAGGGTGCAGAGAAGCTAGTTGGCCACCAGGAGGTGCCTGAGCCTTGGACCAGTGGGGAGGAGACAAGGGAGTGTGATCCGGACGTCAGCAGTGGGGAGGAGACAAGGGAGTTGTTCCTAGATGCCCGGCACCGGAGAGCTAATAGGCGTAAGGAACAATTACACAATTACAGGAAGTAATTGCACTCAGCTGGTGGCACTTAGGCTCCTCTCCAGACTATAAAAGGAATGCTTGTGCACACGCCCCTTTTGCAGAAGTCAACGCAGGAACTAATGTTGGAGAATATTATTGTGAGCTTGGCAGGCTGGATTGCTGCCACAGCTTATCTGTGCTGGATTGCTGCCCAATCTTGTCTGTACCAGTTTGCTGCCAAGGACCTGTCTGTCTGTTAATTAAATGCCATAATTTATCTTTGGTTCGGAGTGTGTTGGTGTGGGACGAGGGGGGTCAGAACAGTTATTGTACATATTTTGAAACAAACTTATTTAAAATAATATTCTAAAATGAAGAAATCTTATAAAATATGTCAGCAACTGGTCCATTTATAATAAGATTTTTGAAATCAAGGTTCATATAGTATCACATTCATGTTTTGTCTTTGTATGCAATATTCACATTTATGCAACTCAAAAAATATGATTACATCAACAACACTAAATAGTTCCTAAATTTGGTCTTAACACCAGACTTCCCTAAGATGTATACAGTTGGAGCACCCATAATCATTATTAGAAAGCTGTTGTGACTCAGCAGAAGTTTGCTGTGAGTTGAGTCGGGATACAGGATTAACAATGCAACTGGGGCTCGTTAGTGGCGTTCTGGAGATAAAAGGACGGATGGTGCCACGCCCTGGTTGTAGAAGTCAACGTTCATCGTTCGGTCGTGGTTTGTTTGTGAGAGGCACTTGGATAAGTGGTTTGCTTTCTGTAACCCTGATTCAAAGAGACACTTGGAGAAGTGATTTGCTTTCTTTCTGAACACCTGGTTCTGCCGTAAGAGATCTTTGTTTTTGCATTCTGTTATCTTCTTGCCAGAGACTTTATTTATGTTTATTTTTGGGCTCGCAGCCAGCGTGAGCCAAGGCTGATAAAGTTATTTCCTTTTAAGCATGTCTGACTGTTGTCTTTGAACGAGCGGAGAAGGGGGGTTCAGAACAGAGAGGCATGCTGGCAAGGATTATGAGAGCTGAAATTGTACAGATCTGGCTTTAACATATTGGAAAAGGCTGCCCTATACCAATTTTATGACTAGATCTGATAGAATTTGTATTATTGTATCAAACATCAATTAGATTGTGTTTTAGAATAACTGAAACTTTTATATTATTTTTCTTTGAGAAAAGCCAAGTTGGAATAAAATGTTTGCAGACAAATTAAGCAACTTTTACCTTTTTTAGACAACTTTTTATCCCAATTTTTAGTTTTAGCTGTATTTTTATAGTATTTTATTCTTACTGTATACATGTTTTATATTGTTTTATTCTTTTTATCACTGTAACCCGCCCAGTTTTACCATGTGGTGAGATGGGCGGCTAATAAATTTAATAAATAAATAAATAATAAATAAATAATAAAATTAAAAATACTATACTTTGATAATAAATACAGTAATAAAAATCATTCAAATAAATAAATTTATTTATTTTAAAACATTTATATAGCTGCCCATCTTTCAACCAACTCTTTGTGGCCCCCAATTAAATTCAAATAATTCTATCTGAAATTATTACCTTCATAAAATAGAGTTTTTGGACTGTGTGTTGTTTAATTTATACTATTGTTTTTGTCCATGATTTCTTTCTTTATTTGCTTTACAGATAGATGAACTGATGATCACTTTTGATGCTGAGCTTTGCCTTCTCCGTCACCAAAAGATGAAACTTGACATCCTAATGAAAACAGCTGATCTGCGCCACATCACTTGGTTCGAAGAACTTCTTCTCCTGAAGAATTTTGAAAAACATGAGGACATTCTCCAAGAACGTGTCAACAGCCTTGTTAGTGAAGAAGAAGAAATGCAAGTATGTAATATATACATCAATATAGGGCATCTTATTAGCCTTTTGTTAAGAAAGGTACGTAATATTTACAAAAATGTATTTTGTTGAGAGAATATTGTTGGAACTCTTGTCAGAAAAAAATAAAACTAAATAGAATACAATCAGAGTGGAATACTTGAGATACTTACCAAATACTTGTTTAGTAAAACAAGAAGAGCTAGAGTCCTAGCATGAGTGGATGCAGAATGAATGCAGATTGAACACAAAAGTGAATTCTCAGTATGGAAGGAATATTAATTTAAAGACGATTGGTTGGTTGGTTGGTTGGTTGGTTTGATTTGGTGTCAGCCAACTCCAGACCACGTCTGGGTAGCTGAATAAGGATTGCATTGCAAAACTTATGTAAAGGAAAAGGTGCACAGGAATATTGTGTGGAGTTGATACATTTCTCAAAAAAAAATTAGGTGAGAAGTTTAAAGAATAAAACATGATTTATAATTTGGTATATGGGCATGATGAAAGCAAGAATGATTTGGAAAGATACGAAAGGAGAGATATAGCAAATGGCATCGTATAAAATAGATTGAGATGGGGTTTTTTTTCTCTTTTGTTTAATTTCTTTTGGTTCCTACCTTTTATGAGCTTTATATAGCATTGCTTATTTCAAAAGATAATTGTGTGATTGGTGTGAATCTATGTAGTTGTTGCATCATAGTTTACATTCTGAAGATTCAATGTACATAGGCTGTTCTTATATAGGCTGGAAAGATGGAGATAGTGTATTAGCTGGAAGTGTTGGACAAGCATTGTCTGGATTTATTTCCTTAATTTATTTCCTTAATTCTAGCATTCTGACTAGAATTCTCCTAGTATAATTCAAAGATGGAGGAATTTGTTCCAGTTCCCCATTCCTTTATTAATATTTTTGGGCAGGGAATAGTGTTGACATTTACACTTTAAGAATTTAAATCAAGTACTGTGTGAGTCATATTGTTAATACTAACATCAATATTAATTAGCTTTATTGTTTTCAATTTTTTAAAATAAAAGAACAAGTTAAATGACTGGCTTGGCCTAATAGAGAATAAAAAAAACAGATGGAGGAATTTGTTCCAGTTCCCCATTCCTTTATTAATATTTTTGGGCAGGGAATAGTGTTGACATTTTCACTTTAAGAATTTAAATCAAGTACTGTGTGTCATATTGTTAATAGTAACATCAATATTAATTAGCTTTGTTGTTTTCATTTTTTTAAAATAAAAGAGCAAGTTAAATGACTGGCTTGGCCTCATAGAGAATAAAAAAACAGAAATTGCAAAGCTCCAAGAAAGAGAAAAAATCCTCTATGCCACTTTTCAAGCATCCTTGGGAGAAAATAACAAGTTTGCTACATTCCTTACTAAAGTTCTCAAGAAAAAGATCAAACGTGTTAAGAAGAAAGAAGTGGAAGGTGAAGGAGGTAAGTCAGAAGCATAGTTTCTTGATTAACTTTTTACTTTTTAGAAAGTTCCACATTACAGGGCAGATGAAAGCAAACACTGCATGTTTCACCTAGTAATTCTTCCGTGTGTCTAAGTTATTAAGAAAGAGCGTCTGTACTATTTTTTACAGAGAAATGTTAGATAAATTATAGTAATTATTATTATTTAGCATTACTTTTTATAATTACTTTCTCTTACACAAATTCATTTACATGTACCACTAGTGGAAATTAATATAATCCAGGCTATACCATATTGTGTATGTGCATCTTGATATATGTTTTGCTTCCAGTTCCCTACATAAAATGAAAGTGGCATGTAAAAAGAAAGCAAATGATAAGTTCAAAATTTTGCATGCATCTTACCTCCTGTTTTTTTTTGTTTTCCCATTTTTAATAATATTTTATTAGGTGAAAAGTTAGTAAAACTATAAGTCAGATTCTGTTGATTTTCTGTGCCATGATCACATTGTTTAATTCCAGATGAAGAGGAAGAAAGTGAGGAAGAGAGTGAAGAGGAGTCTAGTTTAGAGAGTGATGAAGAGGAATCAGGATCTGAGGATGAAGTCTTTGACGATTCTGTTTGTCCAAAAAGTAAGTAGCATTATCTCTTCTTCAAATATAACATTTGGAAACAATAAAATACCTTTTCCCCCAAAAACAGAAACTTCAAATTTTGATAGTATATATGGCAGTTTCATTTGTATTGTCAGAATGTGTTTATGTATCAGGAAAACATAACATTCCCAAAACTTAGCTTCATTTATCCTTTGCAACACATATTATATCCCTGCTTGCTTAGCGTATGTACAGTGGTGCTAATAAATATTCTTGTTAATTATGTGAAGAAATTATTGCTGAATAAGTAGCAAGTTATCTGTTATGAAACATTGATGGCTTTTCTTAAGAATACAGAAAAGCCCCTGGGAAAAGTTCCATATTGTTATATGGATTTTATTCTAAATTCTAAACCCTTTTTGAGGTCAAAATTCAAACTAAGCCTTTTGCTGCCATCTTGTGATTTTAATCCATAACTTCCTATTAACAGAAATCTCCATAATATGACCTCAGGATAACCAGAGCCTAAGCCATTTTTATATTTTAAAACCATGTTCTGTAGAATAATTTTATATATAAACCACAGGGAAAACTATGAGTTCTTAAAATTGTTGTCTGTGACATTCTATGGTGATTTGCATTTGCAATGTTCAGCTTATAGTCGAGTTTTTGTACCTACCCATATTAAAAGACTGTATTATAATCTTGAGAATTCTCACTATTGTTTTGGTCCCAGGGAAAGTTCAGTAGGTTCATTCCTACTATAAACTAGCATTTTTAACCTTGGCAACCCTGAAGATATGTGGACTTCAACTCCCAGAATTCCTATTATATTGAATTTTTCAATATGATTTCTCCCTCTCTTTCTCTCCATCTATCTTTAATTGGTTTTATGTTATATAATAATAGCAATAAGGTCGGTGATGATTATTATTACTGATGGGACTTGCAGAATAGATTAGTAGCTGAAAAAAGAATAGATCGGTAAAGCAAATAATCTCTATCATTTAATTACTTTCTTTTTCCTATGCTACCCTATGTGGATATATTTGCAATATCTTTATACTCTGAGCAGTGTACAACTGAGCATGAACAATTAAAATAATCAAAACAGAATAAGACATATACACCAAGGCAGAATGTACATGGTCAGCTAGAATAACAGTGTAATGGAATTGTAAATTTCAATTACCTTGTAGTATACTAAAAGAAAGGGCATTATTAGTAATTCTACTACTAGTACAATGTTCCAGGGCATGTGGCCACTATAGAGAAAGTTTATTGCTTGACCCAAGTTCCATGTACTTTCTGGGGAGGAGGGATTTTAGCAGCTCAGCCTAGGATATTCCAACTTGGCAAAATCAATGTTGGCAAGGCAGTACACAAGGTAACTCAATGCTTTGCCACATAGGGCTTGAGTTAGGCCAATGAGATTATTGCTAACTGATTTCAAAATCAGTATTATCTTGCAGCAGCTGAATTGTTTTGTCAGCAATTTGATCACTGCATTCTAGATCAAGAGAACCTTCCAAATCACCTTAAAAGGCTGCCCTACATATAGTGAGTTGAGTTAAACTTGCAGTGTGTGATGGTCAAGACATTAGTTATCATTACCAGCACATTTGTGGTCCAGGTAGGAGTGCAACTAAAGATCAGCCAGAGGCAGCTATATTCTTTTAGCAGGAGCTATGAGTCAGGAGCCCCTTCCCCCTTCACATTGTGAATCAACACCTTATTGAGGACTCTGGGGTCCTTGGTGCTCTCTGACCTTGGAAGCTTCCTTGCCGATGTTTCATTACCAAACTAGGTAACCATTGATGATCTTATCTAGTTTGGAAATGAAATGTCTGCAAGAAAACAAACAAGCTCAGAGAGCACCAAGGACCCCTAGTTCAAAACCCTGAACTACAAATATCCTCTCCTTTTGATATTGAGGATTTGACTTTACACTTTTGGGGGACACAGTTCTCTGAACAGAAGAGCAAAGAAAGAGATGAAGGCTGAGCTAGTATTGGGTCTTCTAAATCCCTGCAGTATCTTCCCACAGTTAATATGTTCTACTTTCTTCTTCTTTGTCATAATATTCCCATTCCCAAACCATCACAGCCTCTGTCATAATCTTTGATAGTTGCTATTTTCTACTTCCACTCTACCATTTTTGCTCATCCCCACACTATCACTTTCTCTTCCCTCCCTAATCTTAAGAAATTGCTATTTCACAAAAAATCATCAGTGTAATTTTTCAGGCACTTCCAAATCCACTCTTCCCTGGGTGAGGGAATTTCATAGTTTCATAGTTTTATTGCTTCTCTTAATACTTTTATTTCAGAGCAGGACTTCTAAAACTCATGATTAAAGTATTATTGATGAGCCTAATGGCTAGCATTTGTGCAGTTCAAAAACATGCCTATTTATGTAGAAGCGTACTCCAGAAGATATGGAAGTATTTGTAGTAGCACAGTTCTAAATAACTATGCACAGCTTACATCTTTAAGCTGTCTAATTTTTAGACTGCTGTTTTAAAACAACTGAGCTTCAGGCTAAGTTAAAATTGTAGCAGTTATTTAACTTGAATTCTTTCTTATGTCAGATTGTGATGAGTCACTCTTTGAGAACACGCTGCAGCTTCGAGAGAAACGACTAGATATTGAGGAGGCTTTAGTTGAAGAGAAAAAAGCTATTGAAAATGCCAGGAAAGAATATGACGCATTGTCAAAGAAGGTACAATGGATTTTTCAACTAGCCAGGTCTGTCCCCTAGCTAGTAATACATTCCTGAAAGCCCACCTCTGCTGTTTACTTAGATGTGGGTTACAATATTAAGACTGGAATAGTTACTTTACGGAAGCAACAATTCTATAAAACAAATTTTGGACTGTATTCATTCTAGTCATTGAAGTTTGGAATCATAACCTGAAATAACAGATGAGCTGTCCTGTGGAGACTTAAAGTTGTTGTTGATATGTTTATTGCCTAAATTAACTTTTCTTAATAGGGACTATATTAGAAATATAGTAAACATCCATTTCGGCTACGTGACCACATGCTTGTTTTTAGTGAGGAAAACAAAAATAGCAATGAAAAGGCTGGTTTTGGAGTACTGCTATTAGCAGGGAGAGAGAAGTCCTTTAATTGTATCTTGGGAGCAGGGGACATGTTGCTTGATTATATTCTTTGCTTTGCAGATAGTATCACTTCCTTATCTCCTCAGCTAAAAAACTGACAAAAAGAAAAAATAGTTTTTCTATAGCAGAAAAATAATGGACCACTTCCTCCTGCTTTACCTTAATCTAACAAATTATTTTGTGATGGCCAGTGCCTGCATTATGAGATCTTTCTTTTGTAACATTGCTATTTCTTAACAGGTGAAAGTCGTAGTGGCGAGCCTAGATAATGCAGAAGGGGAACTTGAGGCCTTTCAGAGAGAAAAGCAGCAGCGGCTGAATGAGCTACATGTTGTAGTGCCTCTAAAACTTCACCAGGTGATGACTCTTATGGATTTTACTGCTGTTGATTGGACTTTTGATAAATCCTTGTTTTTTATATGAAGGCTTGTAATTTGTTTTCTTTATTACTACTAGTATAAAATTGAAGTGTCTTTCAAACCGTCTTCATAACCTATCGATTTGAAATATTGGACAGAATTGTGCCAAAGGTGGTTTTTCAAAAGGCACATTTTGGAAAAAAAACTTTGCTTTTCCTTGAAGGCTTCACTTTTCATTCAAGAAGCTTCTTCAATAATTGAACAGAATTATTTTGTTTCTCTAGACTCAGTGTCCACCTAGAAGCATATGAACAACTCTTGGACACTCTTGTAGACAATCAGTGAGAATTAGCAAAATAATACAGAGCTCTCCAGATTTATGTACATTCTACTTTTATTTGCAGGTGGAATATATGTCGAATGGAGAAATTCCCTCTGATCTCTCACAGTCTTTGGTATTTACCAATCTATCTTTAGTGAACTTGCAGCAAAGAATTTTGACTTTGCAGCAGGAGAAATTAGAACAGAGGTCCCTTTATAAGAAAGCCCGGGAACAGCATAAACAACTAATTCGAGACAGAAGAGAAATAGCACGTACGATTGAGCGTAAGTTTCTGATTTCAATTGAATTAGTATGTAAAGATATTTCATTGTGGTCCAGGGCAAGGAGATGATGAACTACTACTTCCTGCAAGTGTAGTTTATATACTCTAGCTGTTTTCTAGAAATGTAGATGCTGACACAGAAAAGTGGAAATGTTTTACAACATTGCTTCTACAGTTCAATGGAGCCCTAGATATTGAACCACTAATGCAGACATTAGGAAGGTGAGATAACAAATACCAGCAATATTTAATTAGCAATTCAAAGAAGACATTGGTGCATAGTGCTATGTATCCTCTGGACTGCCTTGTGCTTTTTAATCAAGCATGCCAATTTCAGTTATTACAATTATTTTGTTTTTAAAAAGGAATCACTTAGGTCTAACATGAGCTTAGCTGGTCTTGCACTGTCTACTGCTCTCTTAGGGAATAAAATATGTTAGGTGATTTTGTTTCCCCTCAAATTCTTAACTAATTTAACTCTCTCATCAAACTTGTTGAACTCACTTTTTCAAAGAAAGATAAAGCTGTTTCTCTGGTTCAATAAATGGTATATCACATACAATAGTAAGCTGTAAGCATTCTTTCCTACTTTTACAATGAGAACTGAAGATTGTTTTAGGCCTGATATATTAGTGTGCATCCTTGCTGTATTAATTGAAAATGTAATATTCAGTATTTCAAGACAATATCATTTAAAATGTTGTTTAAAAGATGGGAAAATGATGTACAAATCACTTCAATCTAAAGCTTCCATCTTTTAGAACTGGAAGAGAAATGTAATCAATTGATGATGATGAAATTTGGCCGGATTGTAAACTTGGAAGCCCTTCAGACTCTTTCTGTTAACACAAACCTAGAAGAACTCAGGATGAAAGTAATGGAGAAAGAGCAAATTCAAGCGGTAGAATTAAAAAAATGGGAGGTATGACTTGATATTGAAGCAGTACTATGAATCAGCCTTTGAAAGTATCAAACAGATTGGTGTTGGGAGAAGCTTGGGGCATGGTTAAAAAACGGACTCATAAAAAAGATCACTCTGCATTAAACCACATACTGTATTTTCTGTAATTTATTTTCTTATTTTGTACAAATTATATGCAAGGTTGGAAACAATGTTAGCAAAAATTTTAATGGTGAACTATTGGCTCAGAGAAGTAAGAGGCAAAAAAAAATAATCTCAGGAATAGAAACTTTGATTTTTTTAAATTTTTTGTTGACATTGTCTTTTGAAAAAATGGAGAGAAACTTAAATAATCTTACTTGTATCTCATTTTAGTCACTTCATGCTTTATTTTTATTTCTAGTTTTATTTTTTTTTTAAAACCTGGTTTGATGTACTGGGTAAGGCAGACTTGGGTATTTTATGGCCTCTGGGCCACATCTGGCCCTTTGCCTGTTCCTGTCTGGCCTGCGTGAGATCAGTCAGAAAATAGAAATCAAGTGTGTTGCAGGGGGCTGGCGAGGAAGCCAAGCGGGGTTCAGCTCTGCACCAATAGCATGAATTCTTCCTAGATACATATGACACTCAATATAATACTTAGTCTTTCCGTATTTCTCCTGATTTATTTGACTGTGTATCTATAATGGTTTATTACAATTTATTTAAAAAGATAAATTCCATAAAATATCAAGAAAGTCAAAGGCCTTTGTCCTACTGCCAAAATCACACGAATGCTTAACTCAGAAGTCAACTTCATTGTAATTTACGAATATTGAGGTTGTTTTTGAGAGGGTGGTACATCTTCAGATTCCTACCTAACTACTAATGCACACTGATTGAGTTCTCAGTCAGTACTAAATTGGCTGCTATAAGTGAGGGGAAATCTTGAGCTCTCAAGTGGAAATATCAGATATGGATACAGTTATTAATACATTCATTAATATGCTGTCTTCCAGAATAAAATTTTTGAGATGCGTCAGCAGCAGATGATGGTAACAAAAGAAAATACTAGTAAAATAAAGCAAATGAATGCATTTTGCATAGAAAAGATGAAACTTGAAGCTAAAGTGGATTCACTGCAGAACAACTTGGTATGTGTTATTTTGTTTAGAAATTCATGAGTAGTCAGCCCGAAAGCATTTTCTTTTATCTTTTAAGATTTCTATAGTAGTTGTAACAAAACCATTATTTCTTATTCTGTATATGCAGCTACTATTCAAGATTCTCAAATTGATCTATGACCTTTATTGTGTATAAGACCACAGTTTAATCACCATAATTAAGGTATTTAATCTAGTTACACATTGCACTTTTTATCTAGGTTGCAAGCAAACAAAAACATACTTTTCATCAAGCCAAAAAGGGGATAGCATACTTGGATTGTTTTGTTGTGAAGAATGTGTATTTAACAATGTAAAATTATAGCTGGCAGTTCTTTAGCTCCTGTTGGCCTTCATTTGTACCGTATTCTTCCAAAGAACCTAGCATGTTATGCTCAATTGGCATAGTATATGTTAGGATCCAGTAGCTTTTGTAATTGACAGGTGGAAATTTGGTCAATGCTCGTATTTTCTAAGTGTTCTTCCCATTCTATTTCTGTGAATATTTATTTTGCATTACTATACAGTGTATAGTAATATAACATTGATTTGCTAGCTTTTATTCTTTGTTTTTGATTCTGGATGAGATTCTTTCCAGAACTGGTGTAGTTTTTTCCCCTTTACAGATATTGTCTTCTCATTGGACTTGATTTCTATTAGCAGTATTATCATTTCTGGTTTTAGCCTTTGTATACGTATGTTGATGACCACTAAACAAATTTTCTTGCAGTAGTTCTGCAGCTGCTCAACCAACAATCCTGTGTCCCATAGTTCACTTGTCACCAGATGTTCAGGAACTTCACACCTACCACAATCCCTGTTGTCCTGGACAACAACCAATCCGAATGATTATTACTGACATTTAGACAACTTTCTGGATTTTGTTTTACAGGGAGCAGAATTTCAAGGACCTCGCAGAGCAGATATTGAGGAAAGGGAAAAATTAATTGCACTTGTTCAGCTGCAAGCCCAAGAAGCTGAAGTCTTGAAAGAAGAAATAACTCTCCTGAGTCGAAAAGATGGTCGTATCTTCCCAGCCTCTCAAAATCTTTTCCAGAGAGATGAGATTATAGATTAAATAGTGTCCTAGTCTTGGGTTTGTTTTTTTTAATATAACTCATTTCATGTATCTAGCCAGAAAAGTGCTTTTGAGACTTTACCCTTGTTTATTTTAATTCTGGAAGAAATGCTCTGCCTTGAACTATTGTTTAGGTTGAACTCTAAGATGATAAGTTCTCTGGAGATGCAGTGATTGAGAAAACCTGTACCATTTGAATGACAGTTATTAAAGATATAGAATCATTCTGGATAAAATAGACTGTATCTCTCATTCTTCTAATCAGTTGGGTTTTCTGTGGATATATGAAGGGTCTCAAAAATCTACAAATAGTTCTATTACCTAACCCAACATACATATTTGTACATGTCAAACAAGGAACAGTCTGCAAATGGGAACTTGTTCTCCCGGTTTGCTGGTAAAACTGTGTCTATATCACAGTATGAAACAATAATGTATTACTACTCAATGGCATGCTGCACATGAGAAACTGACTAAGCCAGACCCAAAGTAACCACCAATAACCTGGAAAATGGGGGCAAGCCTTGGCATTCTGTCAAGATGCTGTTGACTGAGAAAAAAATTATCAGCAGAGCATTCTCATATCATCACTATTCCTTCTACAGTATCTTAAACTGTTACAGACTTTGAAATTGGCAGTGTCACTTGGTGGCTGCTCAGCTATGTGAACTGCTTATAATTTTCATAGCTAACATATGGAAATATTTTCAGATTCTAATTTAACTTTTATATTATGTAATAAAGCATATGGGCGTAATTAAATTTTAAACACTCTACTGAGCCTGAGTCTTACCATATTACTTCTTTATAGTAATCTTACTTTTAAGCAGTTGACTCTTGGAAGTCTCACTTCTCAGTCCCATTTAAAAAAAAAAAAAAAATCTTGGAAGTCTGTATTTCTTTCCCTTTCCCTTTCTGAGCATGTCTGGTTCTATGTTGGTCTAGAACAGGAGTGTCAAACTTGCGGCCCATGGGCCAGATGTGTCACACCCTGGCCACACCCACCTCTGGTTTAGTGAAAGGGGGGGAAAGTTGCAATATGTCAGGTAACAATGTGACGGTGTGAGTTTGACACCCCTGGTCTACAATATTTTTCAGAAAAAGAAGAAAGCCAGAGCTCTGGGTTTTGTTTTGTTTTTCAATTTCCTTGGAAGTAAGAGAATGGAAGGAGAGAGGAGAATAGCTGATTTTGGGGACACTTGGAAAGGAAAGCGGGTAACTTAGAGAACCGAAATGGCACAGAGAGATAAAGATAATATAGATCTAGCAAGCCAAGCAAGTATTGGGAGGCAGGGGGCAGAACGAGGGAGCAGATTTATCATGGTGGGAGATCAGAGAACTAGCTAATAGCTAAAATAATATATCTTAGATGGAACTCCCTAAGTGAGCGAGCTTTGGGTGCCAATCCCCCTCCCCCCCCAGTTACAGTTTTTCAGGGCAGGTAGCATGACCATTTACTCCTCACTACTGGTACAACAGCAAACATGAGCTCTATAAGGGTCTCTATAATGACTGGTTCCTAGTTTGAAAAAAAATCAGGAGACCAGTTGTGTTTTTCTGTCATCCGTAAAAGACTTCCTCACTCTTAAAAAATGAAGTCTCCACTTGAATGTTTTGGAAATAAATTGGTTCTAAATATCTTAGTTGTTGAATACATGTTACTGCATCTCTATATGTCTTGCTAAAGAGCACTTCAAAAATTTTGCTTGGAAATAATTACTCTCAATTTGTGACAATTGCCAAAGACCTTGAAGGTGCTCTGAAGGAGAAGCAGGAGAAGAGAAAAAACACCCAGTAACGAAGATGGAGAGCTCTTCTGGTCTGGTCCTTCCTTTCCCCATTTCTGGGCTATGCATTGTAACAGCAGTTGCCTTTACACTCTATGTGATTGCAGAAGGTGTGTCTGGATTTATTATTTGACTAGATTGGATGCATTAATTTAGAGGAAGAAGAATTCATGTTTTGCAGAAATATACTAAGGAAGAAGCTTTGAATTTTAGAACTGTGGAATAGTAATTTTAAAAGGTTATTTAAATATAATATGGAGAAATTTGCTTGTCTTTCCACAGAAATCTTTTTGAGGAATAACAAAGAAGGGCAAGAATGTAGTCAGTGCATTGATATGCAGGTATATTTATGAAATGTGGCTTCCTTTTATTGAATGACTTTCTTTTGTTGATTCCTAACTGAAATAGTACAGTGAACTTTTTAAATTAAAAGAACTATAGGGATCATTTTATAGTTGTCAAGATTTAAAAAGCAAACAAATATTTACAAAAACAAGTTCAATAAAAAAGGAGAAATGCTTTATTTTTGAAGCATGGTGATTTTTTCATTACTGGCACACAGTATATATATTGTTTTTAATGCAGGTAAATGGTGCTTTAGGTTTTGTATTTGTCATTTTGCAGTGAAAATCTTCCAATGCGATTATAGAAAAAGATTTTCCCATAGTTTCATCATTAGAAATACAATTCTAGCAATTGGAAAATGAAGAAAAGCTCCAATGCCCTTTTAAGACATAAAGCAGTAATCTGTCTTTTCAAGTCTATGATCTAACAAATATATATATATATTTATATATATATATAGTTGACTTAGTCTTGGTTTATTCCCTGCTGTAATTTTCACATGATATAATTCCTCTCTGTAATTATAGAAGGCACATGTACATCTATTTACAAGTGCATAAATATATAAATAAAAATGTAATATAAAAATAAATAAACTTTTCTCTGTTTAGAATAATCTTTGTAAGGCAGCTTCTTATCTGATGCTGGAACAAGTATCTGAGGAATTATGTAGAGGCAGGCTATTCAAATATTTCTCTGAGCTTTCTCCTGAAGAAACATCCTCTGGATTTGTGGGCCACACATGTCTTCTCTTTTGGCATAAATCTGTTCCCCCTGTGTGTTTAACAGGGACTAGACCAATACAGCAAGTAGAATCTGAAAATGTAAAGAATCAAATTGCATTCTTTATCAGACTCTTCTATTCAAAGTAATTTGAAGTGAAACCAAATTATAAAAAACTGAGATCATAATATCTCAGAGCATAATTTTTAGAGAGAAACAAGTTAAGAATATATACTGATACATTATACATGACAAGACATGAGCTAATAATGTTAAGAACTACTGGTAAAAGAAAATAAATTTCAGTAATTTTCACTGGTATTTGATTAATAAAGGAATCTAATGTACATTTCTATAGCTTACTAAGATACATATTAGTAAAAGGTTCCTGACAATCAATGTAGACATTTCAGTTATTTCAGATCCACACCAATCTATTCATGTTTTTGGCGGCTCTACCAGATGGTGCAAGAATTGAAACATTTAACATTTTTAATATAATTTAACAATACAGATTATGCAGATTTTAGCTAGCAATATAAATAATACAAGAAATATAAATATCCCTAATGAGCAAGACTGGTTATTAATAGATTATTTCTTGAAGATGCTTAATTTTTAATACATATATAACACAAAACTCTGTGTGAATAGAAATATCTTGTGTGCACTGATCTTCATTTAGTCTGCTCTTCTTTTTCAAATGAATAATTTTTCTTCTTATTTTAAAAAAAATATCTCAGATCTCTCTGGTACTGACCTTTATGGAAGGCAGGATTCCTCATGTCTTCCATAGTAGAATTTCCCATCTTTCTTTCTGGTGTCGTGTGACACAGACTAAGGAGTTGTTCATGATGGTGGTGGTGGTGTTGGCAGTTGTCATGTTGCTGTAACAGTTGATTTATGGAGTCATCTGGCAGACCACAGAGAAAAGAACTGTGTTCCAGCCCAGGGCTAGTAAGCCTAAATGTAAGTGAGAGGAGCATGTGAGGACATCAGTGAATTTATTATGTATACAGATAGTAAAAGTAAGACAGACATTTTCAAGTGCTTAATTTTCTTTCACATTTGATATTCCAAATGAAAAGCACTCTTACAAATTAATATAGAGATACTATGTGTTAAAATGCTAATTATTTCTTAGGAGGACAAGATTTCTATGCATTGTAAAACACATGATTTGAATAGTATAAGTGAATGTTCTATAGATAACTAAAGTAAACATACTCTAAATACTCAAATGCCAGGATGTGTCTATTATATAATAACACCAGAATCATGCAAAAGTTGAAGAACTGAATAGAAACAGTATTGATGTTTTGAATGTTAGCATTTAAGAAGATCCCTGAAAATATGATTAGCCAAGACAACAAAGTTCAACCCCTAGTTCTCACTTCAGGCACAAATGATCGGAGTCAAATTACCATACTCTGGATATATTATGTGAAGAGGTAGCTTTCCAGAGAAGGCTATAATTGTGGGAAAGGTGGAAGGAAAAAGAATTGGATGACCACCAGTTAAGGTAGATGAACTTAATTAAGGCAGAAATGGGTATATCATTGGAATAGCTAAATAATGAGACTGGGGACAGATCATCCTGGAGAAAATCTGTAGTTGCCAACAATTCACACCAAACTGATCCCCATAATCAAATATGTTTTAATTATATCAATCTATTTTTTTGCTTTGATATTAAAATCTTTTTTTGGATAATCAAAAACCATGGCTGTACATTGGCCATACTTGAGTAAGAAGAATCAAATGATGGTTTCAACATATTTAATTTTTCAATCTACATTAAAAAAAAGATTTTAGAGAAAAAGATTGCCCAATAAAATATCCCATTCTCTATCAAACCAAAGAGGAAAATATTCCAAGAAATAAACCATACCTTTGGGGTTCAGATATATTGTTTCCATTTTGTAGTGCCCTCCCTTGCAGAAAAGCATTGGTTTCATTTTGCTGAGAACAGAAGAAAAATAAGCACAAAAAACATAAACAGAAAGATTAAGGATTAGATGTCCAGTCAGTTCAAGTCAACAGTTAAGAAGTGATGCAGCAGGCACTCAATTTTAAAAATTTAGCAATAATTTTTTTTTTTTTTAATTTTATTAGTATTTGTAGGCCGCCCTTTTCCCTGAGGGGACTCAGGGCGGCTCACACAAAAACTGGGAGGGGGGAATACAGACATTAAGACAGAAACATGTAATAAAATAGCAAACAACATACATTCATCATTCGGGAGGGGCAACTATCCTATCCCCAGGCCTGACGGGCGAGCCAGTTCTTCAAGGCTATGCGGAAGGCTTGGATTGGATCCAGCATTACAAAAATTAAGCTGATTTGTAAAACTGGAAATACCCACTGAAACATTATGTTGGTGTCTTTTAGAATGCAAGTAGATATTCTATTATTTATATACAGAGTGAATTTGGGGCTTGTTTCTCCAGCTATAAACTCAAAGGTTCTACTTTAATCAACTATGCAGTATTTTTAAGTACAGTACAAAACTTATTTGCTTATTATCACTGAATCCTTTAAGTCGGAAAATAATATTTCTGGCAAACATTTTCCTTTGACTTCTATCTTGTAAGGTAAACCTTACAAGAAATATCCAACACTGAATACTAGCCAAAATTTTATGACAGGCATGAGAAGTAGGTTACCTAACATTTTCCAAAGATGGATGAACAATTTACCTGTTGAGCTTCATCTGAGTTGCAATCATATGACTTTGTATATGAATATCCAACTGTAGCAGAGGGAAAATGACCATTTCCACCATTTGCATAATGTAGCCCATTAACTTGAGGAGTAGAAACACCTCGCAAAGGCACCATGGTATACTGACAAGATGGTACTAGCAGTCCTGCTCCCGGAAAGCCCAAGTCTATAGCCTGCTCTGAAAGAAAGAAATAT